GGAGATAGTGGGGCTGTGAATATATGTATGTAATATAGAAATATTGAATGTTAATGCAAAGTAAGACGGTACAATAGAAAAAGGTGAAGGGTTCTTTTAGATATTTGGATTGATGCGCAAAAACGCCTGTGATTTTGATAGCGACTTTGTGTGGTTTTCTGTATCAAATGTTTTCCTAGTTGTGCCAAGAATCTTGAAAACTAAATGGATAAGCCAAACGATGCCGAAAGTAATTGGATTAAAACCCCAAAATGTGCACTATAGATTCTATGGCTGATCGAATACGTCCTTTTTGATGATTACGTGTGAGTTTGTGAGGGTGTTTGGGAGGAGATCGAATGTCAACTTTGAATATATATATATACACATCATCACTATGATACAGAAAACATATAATTAAGCTGCAAATAATTATATAATTAATTAATTTCTTTTATGGATAAATACTACATCTTTTTTTTTTGAAAAAAATATATATTACATATGCTTAGATAACGAGAGAACAATATGTGCATTATTATATGTGAGTGAATATGTATTGTCTTGATCAACCTATCTATAATAAGTTTTATAATTTAAATAAAAAAAATTATAAATAAGGGATGTAAAATATTTTACGATCATAATTAATAAGATTGTAATCTAAGCACTCAAATTGTGGTTACATCTTCTTTTAAACTCAGTGTGGTATATATTAGAATTTAAAACAGTTAAAACTTTTTTGCAGTATATATAACGACAAAGGAACTATGAATTATCCATTTCTTGAGTCGTGTTTAGTGATATAATAAGTGAGAGCTCCTTTATTGTAGCTCTTTCCTTAGTGAATAGTTCTTTTATGGATGAATAATGTCTTCTTGTCCTTAATGAGAAACTAAAAAGCATAAAATGATTTTTTTTTTCTAAAAAGAACAAATGGAAAATTATTTGGAAGATCGACTTGCAAAGTTCGATGTTAATCAACTCTTCAAAAAAAATTTTGGTATTGATTAATATTATCTTATATTTTAATTTCTTTTGAGAGTTTTAAGCTCTTTCTAAATATATCATTTTAAATCCTATAAGATAAGTACTTTAAATAAGTTTCTCGTCTTTTGATTTATCTTTTTAGTTTAAGTTATTGTTTTAGACTTTTTTATGTTGCTATTATTCACTGATGCTTTCATTTAGGTTGTTCTTCTTCCTTTTTGTCTATAAAATAATCTAATTAATAAATTTATTATCTTTTTACTTATAAAAAAAGTTTAATGGTAAAATAAATGGCCTTTTTTAGCTTCTTGTAATCAAAATATCATTGATATAAACCTATACAATACTAGAGATGCTTTTAGCATAATAGATAAATAACAAAGTGTTTGCCCTGAATTGAGTAAAGTGAAAATTCATCAGAAACCTACTTAGCTCTTGAAACTATATTTATGAAAATTGCTTTGAGTCCTATACAAATTTATTTAACTTGCATACATAGTAATAGAAATGTTTGTTAACACACCCTTGAGGATGGAACCTTTAAACTTCTTCTTTTACATTCCATGCAAAAATACATTTGGAAACATCTAATCATCGTATACCTCACCCCTTAGTTAACACAATAAAAAAAAAACCAAAGAGATTGACTTGGTGGAAATATCCTTAGTGCTCTGTTAGCATGTTAATGTAATTATTTGAAAAATATGTTTGGGAAACAAATTTCTCATTGTTTTGTCATTGTCTTGTGATGCATATTTGAGTAGGCGTAATAAAATTTTAAAATAAAATAAAAATTAGAATCATAATTAAATACATGAGGTTAGAACTAGTTAAACTGACAATTTTTAGAGAAATATGAATTTGATAGCTTGAAGTATCAAAAAGGTAAATCCAATGCTTGCAAGTGCAAGACTCCAGCATGACCAGGCTTCTATGCATTTATGATATTATACTCTAAA